TATATATATATATATATATATATACTCTATTTTTGACCATTAAAAGTTTTTCAAGAAATACTTATGAGATTATTTTGTAATTTAGAGGTGTTTAGTTCAGACAGTTTTTCATACTTAGCTGTAAGATTTAATCTTTCAGAGGTTTAGAAAACCTACATTAAATTGCGAAAGAAAACAAGTATTTTTGAAAACTTCATGCCAGAAAATCAAGCAAAAAACTTGTAACTTGTATCGATCACTTTAGTCGTTATTTTAAATAACTGCATAAGGTTTCGTAAACCTAGAGTAAATATTTATGGAGATTTTTTCTTTAAATTTTAAATTGGAAATTTTGTAACTAATCTAAAATTGCTCCAAAAAATTTGTTTGATTCCATTGAATATCTATAAAGTTATAACAAAAAAAACGCAAGGCGAAAAAATTAATTTTTTATAAAAATAACCATATCTCCATAAATATTTACTCTAGGTTTACGAAACTTTATGCAGTTACTAAAAATAACAACTTAAGTAATCGATACAAGTTGCAAGCTCATTGCTTGATTTTCTGACATAGGGTGTTCAAAAATACTTGTTTTCTCTCATAGTAATTTATTTTAGGTCTCTCAAACCTCTGAAAGCTTTAAATTTTATTGCTAAAAATCGCTTCCACTAAACATCTCTAAAGTTACAAAATAATCCTTTAAGTATTTCTTGAGAAATCTAAAAAAATATCAAAAACTGAAAGTGCTTCTTCCATTACTGTAGAGTAGTGTATATACATAAACTATCAAAGTCTGTAAGTCCTTAATGAGAAACGCATCTGAAGCTTTTACCTTAGGTATCATCATAATTAGAAGGAAATTTCCTTATTACATATCTTTCAATGCATTCATAACTTCAATAGAAAATCTGAGCAAAGTATAATTTTGTGTCTTTCAACTTTCCATTTCGATTAGTAAAGGAAAGTTTCTGTGAATAAGTTAATGAGAAAATGTATATCTCATTGTTTATGAATTGTTAATTAAGTTATCGATGCAGGAACAAGATATTGGATTCGTGAGTAACTTCTGTTTATTCGCTAATATTCCGGATTATTAAGATTTAGAAATAAGTTATTTGATGCATACAGAACTTAAGACTGATATTTCGTTGGTTTTTAAGCAACAATCATCAGTTGAAAATATTCACGATTTATAACTAGACTTTTATGCGTCTTCAATTACAGAAAATTCAAATATTTTTTTTATTTATAAATACACTAGAATTACTTGACCCATTATTTTAATTCTTTTTGTCTATTGTTTTAAAACGTCTTTCAATGGTGCTAAGCTGAATTATTTCTTTTTCTATATTCCAATTTGTAGGTTTTTACGCTTATTTTGATACATATTTTATGCATCAAAAATTTCGACTTTTTGTTTTTTGTTTATTTTTAAAATTCAAAAATCACTTCTAGCTAAATATTAATAAGAAATAGCTAGTTAGGTGCGAGTTCAATAACCTCGTTTCATGCCCAAGAAAACTCAAAACAAGCAGATATTTTTTTCTAGCATACTATCGTTTATCACGATACCACTGACACAATATTTATTTTAATTTATAACCGTCGTTGATCAGCTGACCCTATATTCAGTTTACGACTACCAATGTTCAACTCCGTAGCCTTGTAATTTTGAACCCACTCAGAAGACGAGGGAACTCCTTGATCAAACTGTGGGAGAAATTTGCCTTCGTGGAAAACTTCTTGATGGAACTAACCTGTATTTGCATTACAGTGAGAGGAAAACCACGAACACCTCCAATGGTTAGCCTGACGCAAAGGGGACTCCCTATGATCTGTCTACTACTGAGGATATTTTTCGCCAGCATTGCAGTTGGTGCGAGCCGGGTGTGGAATTCGTATAGATCAGCCATTGCTGTGATTCGAACCCTGGTCACCTCATTGTGAGGCGGCACACCCTATCCCCGGAGCTACCAAAGGTCGACACAATATTTAGATATCTCTTTATTAGAATAAATGAAAAAAAAAATACTCTCAAGCAGGGAGCTACAAAAGTTTTAAGAGCCAGGGCCAATTTTTAATAGCTAACGAGTTATGGAAAGCAGCATAACAATCTTTTACATTCATGAAATAAATTATCTTTGATTTAATATTGCTTAAAGTAAGTTTCTTTTTTCCTTCCCAAGAAAATCACCACGAAAACAACGTTAAAACAAAAATACTTTCATTAATAAGTCAGTTGATAGAAGAAATTCCTTAAAACACTATTTCTTTTGATGCAACAACAAATTAACATCTCTAATTTATTTTAAATGTAAGAAAACTCCTTGGATTTTTTATTTACTTATTTATTTATTTATTTTTTGTTGTTATTAGTGGTCCTGACCTTTCATTCAATGTTTTATTTACACTACGGTTATGGCTCAACATTATAAGTTAGTTCAAAATAATCAAAAGAGATAATTGTATATGTTTGTTTGTTTTTTCAAAATTAATCCCATATTTACAAGATAGCAGCACGTTCAAAATGTTGAAGATTTTTTGCATTTTTGGTCATTTTTCTGTTTATAAGTAATTCATAAATTAATCATTTTGATATTCATAACTTTTTGATCATTTTTTAAGAGTTCTGATTGATATTTATTAATTCTAACAGCATTTTACTGATGGATTAATTTTTATTAATAAATTAGCATTTATTTTGTAATGAATCCTGCTGTTTCAAATATGTTCCAATAACAAGTGTTGATGTTAAATGAAGTTTTTGCTTTTGGACAACAGTCGCTATTGCGATAGATGTCATATAAAAAAAATAAAAATGTTATACAATTTTAATGTTCTTGAAGTTTATAAATTATAGTGGGTTGAAAAAAAAATAACTTTTCTTAACAAAAGCGTTCAGAAATTCGATCCATTCTATTATAAAGATTAATAAATTCTTACTTATCTCTATACGATTCACAGCACATATTCGTCGCATATTACAATTTTATTTTTTATTAAATTTAAAAATATATTTTACAATTTATAATTTCAAAATAGTAAATATAAAACATGTTCTCGACAATTCAAGGGATTACTTTTCATTTTAGAGACATTTTAATGTTTTCTTTTTTTCATTTTAAAGGCATTTTCTGAGAATTCTAAGAATCTTTAGTTCATCAACATCCTATCTCTGGTTATGAGTAAATATTTGATCTTTTAATCATTCCATTCCCAGTAGCAATTACACGCTATAACATCCATTTTGTTTAATAGACTGGTAAATATTTAAGTATATTTCAAACAAACAAAAAAAAACTACAATTACTTACGTTATTTTTTTAAAAGGAAGAAAGTTCCTGCAAATGGTATGAATAACTACTGCGTCCCCCCTCCCCCCATTAATGCATTTCAAAGAAGATATGATAAGGCAACCTCCACCCCCAACATAAGGGAAATCACAACGGAGTGCAAAACAGATGTTTTTATAGCATTTCTACTTCCGGTGATGAAATATAAAAGTTGCTTGTCAGATTTTTTTCTCCCCTGAATCTCACAAATTTTGAAAATAAATACTTTAAAGTTTTTAGTTTCCTAACTAAACTGACTTAGTTCTTAACAAATTTCTTACTTTCAAAATTTCTTATTTGATAATTTCACATATTTCTTATTTTAAAAGAAAAGTAAATTATAAACGTTTCACTTTTAATTGATTTTTTAAATCTCTGAATTAAATTTTAATTTAATTCTTGATTTCCATTGTTTCAGACTAAATCTTTATATATACATAATCTGTAACTTTTCTCATGCGCTTTTTATATTAATGAAAGCTTATAATTAAGCATATATAGCACTAAAAAAGGGGAGAATTCGTTAAAATGGGGAAAAAAAGATGTCTGTCTTTAAAAGCTGTAGAAATAATCAGAAATAAAAAAATTAAAAAATTAAACTCAATCTTTTTATTATAATTTCATAGAAGATGGGGAAGTTATAGAGAAATTTGTCAGTAAAAATTCAAAATAATAAGTTCTTAAGAATACTGATTTATAATGAGTATTTTCACAGCTAATTTTAAAAAGCAAAAAAGAGCCCTGAACAGCAAGTCGTCTTTATACGAATGAAGATATTTATGAAAAACAATGGAAGAATAATATATAATAATAGGACTATAAGGGATTTGGGAATAGGATCCGTAACTAATGTTTCCTAGTGCATTCCTTCACACATTTACAGAAAAATCCTTCAATATTGAAGCTTAATATAGTACAATTTTGCTGCAGCCTTAATAAGATGAGAAATTAAACCATTTTTCTGTTCAAGTAGATCCATAATATCAAACAAGTTGATTAAATACGATAATAGGGTTCAAGAAGGCACTATATTAAGATTACAGCAAATTTTAACGATAATGTGGTTTAATACGCTCCAAAATTAATAAGAGTAGAATGCAAAAAAGTTGAAAATTAAAGGATAGTGATTATTTATTCATTTCAAAGCAATTATCTCTTTAAAAAAATGTGAACTAGTAAAAGTATAAGTTACAAAGTTGTGTTTTAAAAGCATTTTTGGAATATTTGAGTTCAATCATTAGGAGCTATTCCCTTTTAGAATATTTCGTATATCTTAATTTTTTTTTCAAAGACGTTATATTCTTTCACATTTTTAATTTTCATTTCTTATTTTCAAAAAAAGAAAAGAAACATTTAAGTCTTACTGATTTTTGATTAAAATTATTGTACAAATTATTTAAAAATAAATAAATTAAAACAAATTCTTATAAAAGTGTCCAACTTAGAAATTCTAGAAAAGCTACATTTTGCTATATGGTTCCAAATTGAACCATATTATTGAACCACTTCTTAAGCTTGTTTACACCATGTTTTGATTTAACGTAAACGAAACTTGATTTAATTTGTCGCCTATTTAAACTAGTGGCAAATTTGTACCAAAATATTTTTTAACGATGTTCTGAGGTTATAGAGGCAAGGGTTTCTACTTTGGAATAATCCACTCATTTAACAGATAAATTATTTTACCTTTCATTGGAGGTATATATTCTTGAAGAGGCACTCCTGTATAATCTGCAACAGTATTCATTTCATTTGGTGGATAATAGTAACAGTTAGTATCAGTAGGCATCATGTAGTTAGGATGATAAACAGGAACTTCAATAGGATTGTAAACTAAGTAATGCGTAGGATACCATGCACCTAGAACAAAAAAAAAGAAAAAAAATTCGTTAATGATATTGTTTAACAAAGGGAAATAAAACAATGACCAGTGAGAAATTTAAAATCAGACAAATTTTTACAAGGGTGAAAGTTTTTTTTTAATAATTATCTAGTTATATAATTATTTAAAAAACAATTTGTTTTATTGTTTTTTAAAAGCCGGGATGGTTAAGGCGATAGCATACTGGTCTTTTCATAAGGTGAACCAGGATCGAATCCCGGCTATGGCTGATCGATTCGTATGTGAATCGTTCCTATCGATTCGTTCGTATCGAACATCCCCATGTCGTTGAATTGCCCGTTGAAGGTTTTCGTTGCTTCGTTTTCCAATTTATCACAAATGCAAGTTAGCTCCAAAAAAGGACCTTAACAAAGGGGAATTTGTCCCAACGACTTTCTTTTAGTAAGTTGGATTCCAAATTACAAGCTTAAAGATATGAACATTGATCGGCTGTTCACCGCTGCAGGGGATAAAATAAGTTAATACTTTATAATAATATTAAAGAATAATATTAAAGAATAATATGAACAAAGTTATTAAAGAAGCCTTCACGCATCGAGATGTTTAGCAAATATTTGTTCTCGTTTGATAGTAGTAACTATTTATTACTGATAAAAAAAAAAACATTTCTTCAATTTTTTCAAATAATTTATTAGTTTTTAATACATTTTCCTTCAATCTATTTCAATTCAGTTATTTTTAGTATTTATGGTAACAAAAAGCCGACCGGCCTATATGGTAATCAGAGATTAGAGAGGTCCCGCGTGAAAGTCAGAGCCATGAATTTTCTTTCCTTCTTTGTCCTTACTTTGAGAGCAATGTTGACCACATGATATGGGGTCCCTGAAAGAGTGGTCAACACTTCTGAAACCCGAATGTCAATATATGCAGGTGGACATTGGGGAAAAAATGCTAAAAACAAAGAGCTATACCCCAAATAAAAAAGGCTTTCGAAACGTTCTATTTGGTGTTCTATTAGTGGTATTTACTGATAAGTAAGAAATTCATTACAAATAATATTCGATTCTTTACTATTTAAAATCACTTATTATAGAAAAATTGCTTTTTCGATAAGTATTACATCATTAATCGCAACCAACCCACAAAAAGAGCTAATGAACTTAATAGTATAAATGAGTATACACATTTTTATTAATTACCATTTTAATAAAATGGAAGCATTCAAATTTTGCTTATTCTTACTTTTAAAGAATCTAAACAAAAATTTCAATTATTTTTTACAGATTTCACCCAGGTTAACAAACTAATCCTATGTCTTTAATAGTAAAAAACCTTTATTTTGCTGTAAAATTCATCGTCTGATATTTTACTCCATGAAGAAAAAGTGGTATTGAACTTTTCATTTACATTTGAATTCAGACAACAAAAAAGAATTTTAAATTAAATTTACAGATTAGTCCAAAAAAAAAAAAATTTCTCTTAAATTAAAGAGTACGGTTGGAGAGGAAATTGCTTTTGTAATATTGCCGCACAAGCAAGGTCATCGGTCTTTTTGTCATCGGTCTTCAAAGCTAGATATTATAGACAACAAATTACAGGCTTTGAATTTTATTCCAATACGCAACGGAAACTAAATCTTTTGATAGTCGCGCCCATTTCGGCATTTCAATGATGAAAAGTTTTTCTAAGAGCAAGATTTTAATGTTTTTTAGTCAAGAAGGACACTTAATTTTGAAAAGAAATGGTAAAATTAAAAAAAAATTACAGATAAATTAAAATGCTTTTGCAATTATTATTCTGCCCTTTGGAATCATGTGAAATAGTTTTAAAGCTATATATTACGTTTAATTCTTCAAAAATTGTTCTTAAATAGCTATTAGATTGAAAATTTTAAATCAATGTAGTATTTAAATTAATGTTTTGGGTAAATAATTTCATGCCGTACGTTTTTGTTTAAAATAATACATTTTTTCAAAACAAATCAAATTAGGAGAGAAGAGATTGATGTAACCAAATTTTATAAATTTGCTAAAAATGCTTATTTCTCCTTTTATACATATTTTATTCTTAAAAATTGAATGTTTATTTTCATTTTGAATGATGCGCAAGGTAATTTTGATGCATACATTTTTAATAATTCATTTTTTAAAAAATGAAAAAGTTGCTCTTATTCGCATTGACCCCATGACAAGTGGTCAGTGCGAACAAACCATAAAATAGATTATTTAATCTACTGTTACTTAGGAAAAAAAAAAAAGAAAAATCAAAATGAAACTACTTTAAACCTAAAAATACAGTTTTAAATAACTAATCTTGACATTGTATATTTTAATTATTAAAGTATAATAAATACTATTCTATAATTAACAACTGAGTAGCCTGACTGGTCAAAGCATTAGTTTTTTTCTTAAATTTCCGACAGTACAGAAATTAATTGATTTAAATAAATAAAAGAAATCGTGAGAAATATTTGGAAATAAACAAAATATTTTACTCTTATGTAATCAATTGAAAAAATTATTAATAAAAAATCTTGCCTGTAAACGTTTTTTTTTTTTTTTTTTNTGCCTCTTCCTTTTTTTTTTTTTTTTTTTTTGATAATCAGCAATTTTTATAGACGCATTGAAAAATTGCCAAAATCTTAGCATTTTTGAGATTTCTAGAAAATAAAAGCCTTTTCACAAATATATTTATCAAATTATTTGCTAAATGCTAATTAATTATTGATCAAACTGTTACCTTTTAACATTGCAAAAAACTACTTTAAAATCGGGCTAGAAAAAATAACTTTTACGGCATGCTGACCATCGATTAAATATTAATAAAAATATATTCAACTCCATTAGCCGCCCAGTTTTAACTCAATTTACATTACAAAGAAAATCTTTAAAGCATCGGCCCAAAAACTTACTTTTCTAAATGGATTTTGGTTTAAATTTACTCGGATTTGTATTACATGTAGGGGAAAACTACAAAACCTTCAAGTTACTACAACTACTAAGTCAATTTACGAACTACAAAACCCTGGAGGCTATGAGATTCAAGTATCTATGCACCAGTGTCTAGTATCTATTTACAGTCAATGAATCCTATATTGTAACATTAAATGAAAAGCTTAGAGTAAAGTAATGACAAGCCACATTTTCAATTGTTGAAAAGAGCTTTTTTGGAGAAAAGCAACCCAATTTGACAATAAGGTATATTTGTATTGAGGAAATTACCTATCTAGAAACCACATTAAGAAACAGATCATCAATTTTGACAAAGAAAAAATTTTTTTAGAAAAAATGTTCACTTACCATCGGAATATTCGTTAGCGAAAGACTGGGCCTCTGCATTTTCAGGGTAGGAATTTTCTTCTTTTCGGTCTGTAAGACAATATAACATTTAGTTATTTTTCAAAAGCATCATAAAATATGTTATGAAATTTTAGCTCACCTGATTTAATTTCTTCTGAACTCCTTCTTGAGCAATCTTTTGTAAACTCTTCTGAAACAAATTTGAAAATATATGAGTTACTTTTAAAGTTAGCATATTTCTCCGTTCTCTTTAGTTAGCAATATATTTATGTCAACTTTCTATTCAGATAAAGAGTGAAGAGAAGATTATTATACATATTTGAGTATTGTCATTTTTCGAGGTTATTTTTTTCTGTAATTCTGTAAAATGTTGAGCCCAGTATCGTTCAAATACCCTGAAACCGTAACATGGTAATTTTCAAATTTGATTACTCGATAGCATGGTTTAACTTAAATTAAATTCAATTTCACATTTAATTAAAGTTGCAGCAAAATTATCCTGCATTAAGGTTCAACGTTGAATCGATTTTCTGATAATTGGATTCTTGAAAAACCCTATAACATCCAAATTGCAACAAATTAAAATAATACAAAATTTTAGTATAAATCGATGTAATCAAAAACCACTTTAGTGCCAAGATATAGTCACACTAATATAATTTTTAGCATCAACAAATAATCGGATAAATAATTTTTCTTAATATTTTCATTCTTCTTTTTTATTAAAAATCTTTTTAATTTTTTTGTTATTTTCTCCTTTTTTCTTTTCTTTGTGTAACTTATATTAAGGATTATACGGGCTTGCAACTTATGTGCAGTTAATGAAACATAATATTTCTATCAATGACTACATTCTTTTTAGAATGTATTATAATCTATATTTTATAATATGCATATTCTTAAAAGAATGTGCATATTATAAATTAATTTTTCTTCCATGTCTAAACACATTACAGCCACCCTTATTCTCCCCCCCCTCCCCATTTATTATTATATATCGAGTATGCTTCTTTTGAAAATTGGTAAAAACAAAAAACTGTTACTGGCCTGTTACCGTTGCGCATTATACAGCTCGATTCGTACACGCTTAAACCATAACCATAATAACGTGTTGAACCATACTATCGTGTAATCAATTTTAAGATGGATTAGTTTGCAGGACAATAAGGTTCAAATTTGTGCCAGATTAAAGTTACAGCAAATTTTAACCATATGATCTTTTAATATTTCTAGCAGTGTATTTAGCGTTGTGGAATATTCAATTAAGTAAGTTCATTCAATGCAGAAAGTTTTGTCCGTGATATGTTAAGAATTCATAAATTAAAAATTGAGTACTGACGATCCAAGTTAAAAAGTACCAAATTTCCGTACTTATTAATTAAAAAAAATACTTTTTTTAAAAAAAGGCTAGTCTTTACGACAGCCCTAGATATATTGAAAAGCATCGACTAAAAGTTACGATTTTATTTAATTTTGCTATTGACTCAATGCAATGACCAAAATATACCTGCGGTAGATGACGACTCCCGCATGCTTAAGAGCGACTAAAGTATGTTCCCTTCAGCCATAAAAATAGAACAATTCAAGACGTGGGCCCCATTCTTCATCTTAAATATTTTTACAAAGTTTACCTCCTCGTAAAAGAAAAAAAATAGAGCAATATTTATATCTTTATCTGAGTCTTTAGAAGTGGTATAGAAACAGTTTTACTATTTATCTCAAGTTAATGATTCAAAATTGTATTTTCTTATATATTTCTTAAATTTACGATTATTTTCCCAAAGTCATTTTCGTTGTTAAGAGAACGCTATACCGAGGAAAAAACCCTTCTTGACAAATTTTCTTTCACTTATCTAATTAATTTAACATTAAAAGTATAGAAATAGTGAGTTCAGATAAACCTAATCAGGTATTTTAGAGAAAAGTGAGTTCATGTAAACCTAGAGTAAACCATGAAGTTTCAATTGTTTGAATGTTTTGATTAAATGAATTAATTGAATTGATTGATTGAATGAATTTATTGAATTAATTAATTTAACATTAAAAGTATAGAAATAATGAGTTCAGATAAACCTAATCAGGTATTTTAGAGAAAAGTTAGTTCATGTAAACCTAGCGTAAACCATGAAGTTTCAATTGTTTGAATGTTTTCAAAATTATATTTTCTATATACTTCTTAATTTTACGATTATTTTCCCAAAGTCATTTTCGCTGTTAAGAGAACGCTATACCACGGGAGAAACCCTTCATGACAAATTATCTTTCACTTATCTAATTAATTTAACATTAAAAGTATAGAAATAGTGAGTTCAGATAAACCTAATCAGGTATTTTAGAGAAAAGTGAGTTCATGTAAACCTAGAGTAAACCATGAAGTTTCAATTGTTTGAATGTTTTGATTAAATGAATTAATTGAATTGATTGATTGAATGAATTTATTGAATTAATTAATTTAACATTAAAAGTATAGAAATAATGAGTTCAGATAAACCTAATCAGGTATTTTAGAGAAAAGTGAGTTCATGTAAACCTAGAGTAAACCGTGAAGTTTCAATTGTTTGAATGTTTTCAAAATTGTATTTTCTATATATTTCTTAAATTTACGATTATTTTCTCCGAGTCATTTTCGTTGTTAAGAGAACGCTATACCACGGAAGAAACCCTTCATGACAAATTCTCTTTCACTTATCTAATTAATTTAACATTTAAAGTATATAAATAGTGAGTTCAGATAAACCTAGGTAATCAGGTATTTTCGAGAAAATTGAGTTCATGTAAACCTAGAGTAAACCATGAAGTTTCAATTGTTTGAATGTTTTCAAAATACTACAACCAAATTATATTCTTTTTAGGACATTACGCAGTACAGAAGTAACCCTATAATAATTTGTTTGCAATTTGATGCTTTGAAAACTTTTTTTTTAATATTTGAAACTTCATGGATTACTTTAGTTTAACCTGAACTCACTTTTCTCTAAAATTTAAAATACCAATGGAGGTGAAAAAAAATTTTGCCATGAAATGTTTTTCCTGTTGTATAGCGCCCTCTTAACTTATTTGTTACATTTTGTAAGACTTTTACAAGATTTTCTTTTAATGGAATTATTCTATTTATTTTTAATGTGAAATAGTACTTTTTTTTCTACTTATGATGCGAAGATTTGTGAGGTGATTTTTGAGATTGTAAAGAAATTTGTATAGAGATTGTTTAGAACTTATTCCAGTTAAATTATTATGCACATTAGGTGGATTTTTTTTTTTTTTTTGTATCTTTGCATCCTCTAACATAAATTTTCATAAACTCATAGACATTATAATAATGATTGGCTTATGAAGGGAATTTTAATTTGATGAATCCTTTTAGAACCAGTATTAGAACCAGAAAAGGTAAATACTCCAATTATACCGGCATTTAAAGTTAAAATCGAATAACTAAAAAGCATAAATTTTTCAACCTCTATGATGTGAAGTTAACATAAATAATATGTTTTAATAATCAGAAACAACTGCTTTTTATTGATAGTTAACACAGAAAACAACTTAGAGAGCTCTAATTAAAATAATTGAAGATACATAGTTATTTAGGGACTATGAACATCATATATATTTTGTACCATCATCAGATCCAAGGTACAGAATTGATTATAGGTCTTGATCTATGATGATGGTATTGCTATGAATAGCACCAATTTAGTGGAATGCTTTCAACTATTTTCAGTTGTGCTCATTACTTTGCTTTCTGTGTAATCTATTCTAGCACAAAGATATATCTCTTTTCTTTCAACGCTTTAATTATTTACAATAAAATATATTAAGTAAAGACATAATAAATATTTTTAATAAAAGCTAATTCCTTTACTGATCAGAATATTATTAATTTTATTAACTTAAAAATCCCAAAAACAAATAAACTCTTCGCATATTCATTCGTTTAAATTTTTATTCCCTAGCCCCTCAAAACTTTCGAAGTTTATTTAAATATAACACCCTTAAAATAAGTAAATGGTCTTTAAATTGACATTACCGCAACGCAATTTAATGGGGCCAAAGTTAGAGTCAAGTAAATTTTGAAAATATGAAAAGAAAATTTACAAAAAAGAATGAAAAATTAGGTAATTTAAAAAGAAAAAATATCATGGTAAAAGCATAAATTTTCAGTAGCAGATTATTTTCTAAAACAAATTGTTAAAAAAAAGAACATTAAATGAAAAAAAATAATAGTTCAAGACAATCAAACTTTTTCAAGCTACAAAATGAAGAAATTCAACAAAAATATTTTAATATTATAAAATACATGCCACATAATCATTTAATTTTTCTCTTTTTTTAATTTAAAACATTAACCTGATCAACAAATCACTCAATAAATAACCAATTCGCAGACAAAGATAAATTAATAATTGTTCCTCTCACCTTAACCATTGAAACAAGAATATTAAAAAACTATTTAAAAAACTTTAAAATGCATACTGCAATAATAAAAAAAAAAATTTTAAAAATTAAAACTTTAATTTGATCAATGAATTAAACAATAAATAACAAATTTTATTAAGGAAAAATTAGTAATTATTTCTCGCACTTTAATCATAGTATCAAGAATAATAGACAGTGCCAAAGTTAAGTTTAATATTTAAGTTGGAAAATAGAAAATTTCAAAAAAATTATTTTAAAAACTATAAAATGCGTGATGCATTAAATGCAAGTCATTACTACATTAAATAACTGCATTAAATGCAAGTCAAGTTTCAAATTTAATGTACAAGTTATAATGCAAAGAATTTCAAAAAAAAAAATTTAAAAACTAGTAAATGCATATTAATCTTTTATTTTTCAAAAAAAAATTTATAATAATGCTTTAATCTTTTCAACGAATAAAGTAGTAAATAATCGATTCTGACAGAGATAAATTAATAATTCTTCCTCGCACCTGAATCAGTGAAATAAGAATATTACATTAAATTAAGCTTAATATTCAAATTATAATATAAAGAATTTCAAAAAATTATTTAAAAACTAAAATGCATGCTACTTTAGTGAGAAACTTTTTTAAAATTGAAAACTTTTATCTGATCAATGAATTACCAATTCTAACAAAATTAAATCAATAATCGTTCCTCGTACTTTAATCATTGCAACAAGAATACAAAACATATCAAAATTAAGTTTATTTTAATAACAAAAAAAGAATTCCAAAAACTTTTTTAAACAACTTTAAATCAATATTTTTTCTTAATTAAAACTATAATTTGATCAATGAACTAAACAATAAATAACAAATTTTATTAAGGAAAAGTTAGTAATTATTTCTCGCACTTTAATCATAGTGCCAAGAATCATAGACAATACCAAAGTTAAGTTAAATATTTAAGTTTGAAAATAAAAAATTTCAAAAGAATTATTTTAAAAACTATAAAATGCATAATGCATTAATAGTTCAATTTAAAACTTTTGTCTGTTCTGTGAATCAAACAATAAATAACCAAGATAAATTTTGTTCCTCGCGCTTTAATCATTGTAAGAAGAATATTAAACAAAATCAAATTAAATTAAATATTCTTGTTACAATGAATAAAAAATACAAACTGCATTGATAAGAAAGGAAGTGAAATAAATCGTAACTAATGTGATATTTACCGAGTGGTAGTTTTCTCCACTTGGTTTTCTTTCTTCCTCCCATCCTGAAATCAGCTACTTTCACTCAATCCTCTATACTTTCCAATGCCATCACCTTGCAAGGGCACTTCTTCTTTAGAAACAAGACAACTAATTTATCGCTCATTTGGCGCATCACACAAGTCCTTCTTACTTCCGCTATTCTTTCTCTTAATAAATTATTTCCGACCGATGAAGAATTTTTAAGCAGAGATTTGCAACAAAAAGATACGAGGGAATGACAGATCTCTCAGAATAAAAAAGTTCAGCTTCATGTTTAAAAGCAATCCATTTTTCAGATTTCAAAATATGTTAACCCTTTTGAAGGCCGTGGTAAGTATACTTACCACCACGTTTTACCACCTTTAATTTAGGTTTCCATTTTTCAATAACTTCAGCTTTCTTGAAGTGAGTTTGAATAAAATTGGTAACCATTTGTCAGTTTTAAAAAACGTATAAAAGTTATAAAATACATAATTCCTACTGAAGCTTGTAGCATTTAAGGAATTTATTTTATAAATTAAGAAAAATAAAAGTCAGTAAGTTCCTAATAGGTCATGTTAAATATATTTACCACCAAAAAAATGGCATTTTTATAAACTAAATGAGTTTTTTTTTATATATATAAATTACTGTTCTTAAAACAATTTCAATTCCAAAAATACTTTAATTTACCTTTACTAGAAATAAAGGGCCCGTTAAAGGGCTAATAACCAGCTGTAAATGCAATTTTAATGGAAGATAACTAATCTTAAATACTTATTAACTAATCATTGGACTTGGTAGAAAACGCATTAAAAAAAGTACTTATTTCCTTTATTTATGTCAAACAAATTGCCTTAGCTTAAGTGGACACTTTGCTGCGTACGAAACTTTTCATGACAAATTCTGTATCACATTCATTGGTAATTTAAAATTGTTTGGGTAAACCCAGACTAAGGCGGGAAATTTCAAAAGTTCTTTTTTTTTTCCCAAAACATCAAAATGCTTATAAATTATGATTACCCGAGAATACTTCCCTAATGCGTAATCTAGAATACTCCTGTCATAATTTTTGCATTTTGATGCTTGCAAAAGATTGTTAAGCATTGAAGATTGCGTCTGGGCTTACCTGAAACAGACAATTATATAAAAACACAGGCAGTAGTGTAAAATTAAACAACCTTACAGAAAAATCTGATAGCAGAATTGTATTTGGTATAATTTAATCAGAAAAAATTTAGTAGAAAATCTAAAATATCACGCACAATATTATATCTTGCATTCCGATTAGGCAAAGACATTTTTTTTTACTTGTTTCAAAGGGTACTGCCAAATAGAAAAAAAAAATATTCAACGTTACTTTGTTTGTGAACATTAAATAAGAATGATTAAACATATTAGGAATTTCTTCCGTCTGTCATCACCTTTTTAACGTTTGAGTTCGGTCGGGGAAAAAAGAGGCCTCATTAGAGGATTTTTTTTTTTTTTTATATTTTGAAAATAGAAAGCTCTAAACAGTAGTTTACATTAAGCCCAACATTTTAAATTGCTCTCCTTTTTTTCATGCCATTAAAACGTTAAATAAGGGCATAATAATTCAACAAAAATAAACTTTTTTTCGGCTGAAATTAATAAAAATTGCGAAGAAATAGGCCATAATTTACGATAGCAGAAATAGCAATGATTCAAAAAAGGAATGAAAATGTTTAATCACTTTCCATTAGCCGTAGTTCATTAGCAGCATTATCAGGGGGTAGAGTACGCACCTCCCTAAGAGATTACCCAGGTTCGAATCCCAGAGATGGCTGGTGGATACGAATTTCGCCTCCAGCTTTCACCGACCACAATACTGACATAAAAAATATTCTCACTGGTAGTCGGATCATGGGCCAGAATCCCTTGTTGTTCCTCTCTATATAGTTGGTCCCAATACTTGATCCAGGAGTTCCCTTGTCTTCTGGATTAGGTTCAAAATTACAAGGCTACGAAGTTGGCGTAAACTCAAATTTGGTTCTGCTATTCAGCGATGGTTATAAAATAAAATATTAAAAAAAACACGTTTCACTGACGAAACTTTTTACACTAAAACGTAAACTTTAAATAAATCGATCAAATTAGTTCTGAGATGTAATTATGTTTTAAATTTTTATTACAACTACTTATTTTTTAAATTTTTATATCTAGAAAATGTTCAAGATTTTTATTTTAAATGTCTTCCTATTAACTTTAAGTCTCATGGGTAAGAGTGTTAAAACATTTATTTACTTGTTTTTTTAATATTTTTCCGTTTATTCGATCACACTTGCACAGTGACGAATTATCAACTTAGGAGCCCGTCTCTACTTTATTCAGTTCAAATACATGCTGTTGTATCTTTGACATTTTATGTACTTCATTAAATGTGTGGTAGTGTTTTTAATAAGATCAAAGTTTAACTCTTAAAGTCCTAAAATGCATAGGTTCTTCCAAGGGCGGCACCAGTAGGGGATCAGAGGGGGCAATTGCCCCCCTATCGGGACGAACGTAAATGTCGTCTGGAAAACGCTAAGGTCTTGAATAGAAATATAATTACATTCTTTAAAAAATCTAGTTTTGTTTTTTTTTTTTTTTTTTTTTTTTTTTTTTTTTTTTTGTAAATGAGAATAAATTAAAAACTTAAAGACAAAAATGCGATCTTTTTACTTGCACTTTACCACCAACTTCCAGTTCACTTTCCCTCAGAAAATTTTGAGAGACAAGTCTTTTGTATGTACACACACACGGAAACAACACAGAAAATTATTTAACACCCCTAAGGGATAAGAGGAGTTAAGAAGACTGTCCTAGTTACTACCCCAGTGTATTCACGTTACCACACCTTTTTGAAACTGACTATAATGTATGCACACTTTCTCGGCATTCAATAAAGAAAAGTATTTTGTTAAACGTCACACCGTTTCATCTAAAGAATTCGATTTTTAAATTATGTGGAAGTAGTGATGAACTAAGTTTGTTCTGTCAATCTTTCTTTTTTTTAATTTGCTCTTAAATAAGGTATATACTTATATATATGCTAAAAAATTCAATTATAATTGCTCACATATTAGTTAAAATATTAAAATAGACTTGTAATAACTACCAAGTTGTCTTATGAACTACAATAAAGAGAACCTCAATCATTCTGTGGTTAAAATGCACGTGCTATTCCATCAGAAATAGTTTTTCTAATCATGAAAAGACTTCAATTTTTTTTAATATAATAAAAAAAAATGGGATTAACAAAATGGACATACAAATCAGGATTGTAATCTCTGCTCTCGTCGGAAAAGTTCATCGTCCTGTCGAGAAAATCCTTTTTAAAGAAACCGACAAAAATAAGAATTTATTCTATTACGCCGAATTTTATTTATTTATTTTTTTGTTTTTTGTATTATAGACACCGCTTTCTCCAAAATTGTGAGATGGAGGAATGGAAAAACTGCACGGCAACTCCTTTAATCAACATATTACGCGTTCACATTATAGCAAAATTTTTAATGCTGCATATTAAATTTTCCATTGTTTTTTGCAACTTGAATAATATTCTAGAGCCGATATGGCTTATGTGATAAGTGATTTCACTTCCTATTGATGAGACTTGGGTTCGAATTCTCATGTTAATTCATATACAGTAAAACTTGTGGAAGTTGACCACTTGTGGTGCATTGTTTTAGAGGTCAACTTGGACAAGTGGACAACTTATATAGGGGGTGGGTCATTGTTTACTTTTTCGTTACCTATATAATGTTGCTATATGTTTAAAAAAATGTTTACTTGACTTAAAAAATTTTTTTAGCAAATTGCCAAATGAATATCTTAAGAAATGTGTTTAAACCTGAATGAACTTCAATTTGTTACATATAATTCTAATATTTAACTAACTTTTTTTGAAGAAAAAAAAAATTATTTCGTTAGATATGCATGTGAAGTGTTTAAAAATAATTTCTTAAAATATCAGAACACGAAAACATGTAATTTGAAAACTTTAACAAAACAAAATTTTTTGAACACTTTAAAATTTATTCTGTTATTACTACACTTACAAACCTATTTGTTACAAAAATATTTCCCTCATTGTTGTTTGGCGCTGTTGTTTAGAGTTTACATCAGTCCAATGTTTTTTAATACAAACATAGAGATCCATTATTCAATGAATGAATAAAAGAAATGGTTAAAAGCTGACCCCCTACAGTTTCTTCAGATGGTCAACTCACAAGATGGTTTAGATTAGCTTTTTACACTATTTCACCAAACAAGTAAAATTTTAACATACATTGCAAAATGGCAGAAAATTTTCTGAATTTTTTTTACTGGTCAATTTATGAGGGTTTTAGAATAGAATTTTATAATACTCCTAGACAAAATTGACTTATTTCAGTGGTCAACATACAAGAGAGACAGGTGGTCAAGTTACAAAGGTTTTGCTTCTTTATATTATATAGAAAAAATTCCGTTCTTGATAATTGAGGTCAACTTATGCAGGTGTCCAACTTACAAGGGTGGTCAACTTGGCAGGTTTCACTGTACTGCTCTCGGTTTGCACTGCCAACAGTTCCGACATACAATATCTCCATTGGTAGAGGGATCATGTGTGAGAATAATCTTGCCCTCGAGCTAACCATGGAGTATTTTCCTGTTGTTGTTTTTTTACAACTGTAAAGCAAATGTGAGCTTGTTTAAATTCTGATGTCCTCCATGAAAGTGAATTTGTCGTAAAACTTTACCAAGAAGTTCCCTTGTACTCTAAGTTCGGTTCAAAGCAGCAAAACTACGGGTTTTAGAGTTAAAAGCAAAAATCATCTGCATGAATTAATACCAGTACTAAAATAAAGTAAATACCTTCAGTCTTGCAATAAATTAATCTTATTCAATTTTTTTGTTATTATCAATTCCAATTCTTTTTTCTAAAGATAATTTCATGCAAAATATAACATTTAGTAAACATTTATTATTACTTTATTTAATGAAAGTCGAAAAAATTTAGAAATGCAAGGTACACAATTTTTTCATCATTTGAAGGAATGCAATTTTAAATGTCAAAATACAAAATTTAAGCAAAATTGGTCAAATAAATCCTGAGAAATAAAGAAAAAACGTCATATTTTTTGAAATTTGGTCTCCTAACTCCTTAATTT